AGCGCGTGCAGGCCCGGGTAGCCGAAGCCGCAGTGCGCGATGCCGAGCTCCTCGAGCGAGTTGAGTGCCCCCGCCTGTGTGTACTGACTGGATGAGGCGGGTCGATTGCGGCTTTTGTACGTACACATACTACCAGAGAGAGAGAGAGAGAGAGAGAGAGAGAGAGAGAGAGAGAGAGAGAGAGAGAGAGAGAGAGAGAGAGAGAGAGAGAGAGAGAGAGAGAGAGAGCGAGAGAGAGAGGGAGAGAGGGGGGGGAGAGAGAGAGGGAGAGAGAGGGAGAGAGAGAGAGAGAGAGAGAGAGAGAGAGAGAGAGAGAGAGAGAGGGAGGGAGGGAGGGAGGGAGAGAGAGAGGGAGAGAGAGAGAGGGAGAGAGTGTGTGTGTGTGTGTGTGTGTGTGTGTGTGTGGAGGGCCGCCCCGCCGATCACGTGCACAAGCACCGCCCTGTGGAGACGCGATGCTGTGCACCACGCCCCCGAGAGATCAGAGCTAGCGGCGCACGCCTCGAGCGGCGCGACGAGGGCGGCGAGGCCCGCGTTGCCGAGCGGGTTACCGTCGAGGTCGAGCGCGGTGAAATCGACTGCTGGGCCGAGGGAGGCGAGGAGGGCGGCGAGGCAGCGGGCGTCGGCGGAGGTGAGGCCGAGGGAGCCAAACTCGAGCCGCTGCCGCGAGGCGAGGTCGCTCTTGACCTACAGGGCAATGGTCCGAGAACACACACTCCAAACCCACATTGACTCGAAGACCTGGGGGCGCGCCGTCTGCGCAGCGCGGTCAGGTGCACAGGGATCCGAGACAGCTCTCTCCGAGACGGCTCTCCGAGACGGCTCTCCGAGACGCGTGTCGGTGCGACACACCTCGTCGGCGCTCACGCCGGGCGGGAAGCCGAGCTTGGCGAAGAGGGACGCCTCGTCGAGCCCGAGCCCGCTCCCCGGCAGCACACGCAACTCGAGCTGAGCCAGCCTCGCCTCGAGCGCCGCTGCGGCAGCCGCGGCCGCGGTCTGAGCGAGCTCGAAGCGCGTCGCCATCGCCGCCAGCTTCTCGCACTGCTCCGCCGCGGACCTATCGTGCAGCTCGGCGGCAAGCAGCTTCGTCTGCGACAGCAGCCGCTCCCCGCACCGCTCCACCGCCGCGTGCACTGCCTCCTCGCCTGCCTCACAGCGTCGCTCCAGCGTCGTGACACGTTCCGCGACGCGGAGCTCAAAGCCGGCCTGCGCCTCCTCCATGCGCTCGATCTCCCGGTCGGTGAAGCGCTTGAGCGCCGCAGGCGTCATCGACTTGTCGTTCGCGGCGCGCTCGGCGTCCAGGTACGCGAGGCGCGCTGACGCTGCCTTAGCAATGAGCGGGACAGGGTCGTCGATGAAGTTTTGCGGAGTCTCGAGCAGGTGCGGCTGGATCGAGCCGAAGAGCGGCCCGAGGCCGGCTGCCGCAGCCGCCACCGCGGCCTCCGAGTCCGCGGCGAGCGTGGATAGGCCTGCAGAATTTGACATTTATCTGCAGCTCGGACGAGGCGCTGTACCCGGCTGCGCCCGCTGCCAGCCGCGAAATCTGAGGTCGCCCCGCCCGCCTGCGCCCCCGCGACGGCCCCGCAGCGGCCGGGCCGGCTGCCTTGGTGGGCGGGGCACCTCCCGCTGCCGCGTCGCGGCCGCGGACGCGCTCGGAAGCACACCGCGGGCCTCTGCCGCGCGCCTCGAAAGCGTCGCCGCTCTCGACGCGCGGAAGAGCCGGTCCCATGCGTCGGTCCGAGCGTCACGCACCCCCGTGCTCGGTCGCAGGCACCTACTCGACGCTGTGCACGTGCGCGCTGGCGCGAAGGGGGTGAGCTCTCGAGTCTCGCCAAAGCCACAAATGCTCGCTGCGCTCGCGCCCACGCACCCCAGCGTCCTCCACGCGGAGAAAATTGCGGCGCGCAAGAAGCTGGAAGAGCACGTCCAGATCAGCGCGGCAAAATCGCTCGGCAAGGCCCGGCGAGACGCATACCGCCGCGGCGGCAAGGACCGCGGACCGCTAATGGGATGCGATGCGGTGTGGGCTACGGAGTACCGACGCCGTGTCGCCGCCGCCGCCGCGGCGCTCGAAAAGCGGCAGGCCGATTGCCGCGCGTTACGAGCAACGCCGACGGGCGAGCTTGAGGCGCTGTTTGGCGAGGCCGTGCTGCAGCGCGATGCGGCTCGGCACGAGTACGTCACGCTCCTCGCTGCGGCGATGTCTGAGCACCGCGAACGCCGCATCGAGGAGCGGTTGCATGCCCTGCGCGAGGATCTGGCCAGCCTCGTGCCAGCCTCGTGCACGCCCCTCACTCCCCCGCCTGAGGCGGCCACAGTCCCGGAAGAGATCGGAGGGGCGAGGGGCGGCGATGGCGCGGCGGAGGAGAGCGTCGGTGCACAGGACCTCGACGCCGCCTCGCCATCTGCCGCCGACCCGTCCGCCCAGCTGGCGCCCGCCCTGCCCGTGGCCTCCGTCGCTGTCGGCCGGCGGCTGACGCTCGCGCTGCGTCTCGAGGCGATCCTGGGGCCCGGGCACGGCGGGGGCGAAGGTGGGGGCGGGGGTGGGGTCGGGGGCGAGGGCGAGGGCGAGGGCAAGGGCAAGGGCGAGGGCGAGGGCGAGGGCAAGGGCGAGGGCGAGGCTGCGGCCGTTGACTCACCCGCACCAAGCGGCGCGCGCGCTAGCCTCCTCCCCTCAACCCCACCCCGGCCGCCGGGGGCGTGTGAGGGGGGCGCCGTCGTCACTGCCTCGCACCTTGGCTCGCCCCTAGGCCTCCTCCCCTCGCTCGAGGCGTGGGCGGCGGAGCAGCCCCGGCACGTCGAGACGCCTTGGCCTCCCGCGCCGGCCGCGAACCGCGTCTCTTCACACCGGGGGGAGGCGTGAACAGGTACGAGGAGGAGCTGGCCTTCCTCCGGCCACACGCCGGCGCGGGGGAGATGTGGGGATGTGGCGAGATATGGGGACATAGGGGGACAGGCCCCCCAAAAAATATCCGGGGCCCCGGTTGCCCCCTTTTTTTCCGGGGGAAGGCCTTCCCCCCCCCCCCCCCCCGCCCCATCACCCCTCTTCTCTCCTCTCTCCCTCCGCCCCCACACCAAGCCCCGTGCCGCCTCTATATGGAGAGACTCTGTCTGGAGATCGCGGGCGAGAGCAGGAGAGCGCGCGTTCCGCTGCGTCGCCGCGACCCCCCCCGCAGGAGGAAAGTACCCCAGCCTCGCGCCGCTCCACGCCGCTAAGGAGGCGTGGGAGGGCGCCGCCGACGCGCTCGTGCTCGCCCGCTCGGCCACCAAGCTGCGCAAGCCGCCGCCCGGCGCGGCGGAAAAGGCGGAGGAGGCGCTGGCGTCGGCGCGCCGGCGTGTGTCGCGAGCCGCTGCGCCGCTGCGTCGGGTGATCTCACTGTCGGCTCACGGAGCGGGGACTGTAGGTGCAAGAGGCGGCGGCCGCGCTACGCGCCGAGCGCGCCGCACTCGACGAGGTGTGGCGGCGGATATATAGCCTTCCCCTTAACCGGAGACCTCGCGGGCAACCTCGGGTACATCTCGGGTTCATCTCGGGAGATCTCGGGTGCATCTCGGGAGAATCTCGGGTACATCTCGGGTGATCAGGTGGCCGAGCTCCACTTCCCGGAGCTGCCGCTGCGAATCCGCGCCGCCGGCTTCGATGTGAGCGAGGAGGAGATCGCGGAGGCGTTCGGGGCGGAGGGCCTCTAGCGGCGATGTGGTCTCCTGTAGTGCTAGTGTGGGCTTGGGGAGACGCAGACTACTCTAGAGTGTCGTTTTGCGGCAGGGGCCACACAGCAGCATCCACAAACCGGGCCGGGGGGCCGTCGCTCCGGCGTGGGTGCGTGCACGAATCGAGGAAGGTGTTAGTGCCAGTGCGCAGTGGCAGTGCGCGCCAGTGCCCAGTCCCGAGAGTGGAGAGAGAGAGCGTCCACTCCCGTGCCCCTAGTCTAGAGTACGCCTACGGCCTAGTGTGACGTGTCAGCACGTGTGAGAGCTGAGAGACAGTACCATGTTCAAACTCCGCACTTTAATTCGAACTTTCTCGCCTCGCCTCGTGGAGCTCGGGAGTAGTCAAGCAAGTGTGCGGGGTGGGCGGGAGGGCGCCTGGGAGCATTTTTTCGCATTTCCGAGGCGAGCGTGGGCCGTGGTGGGCCCCTCCGGGCCTCTCTCAGCAGCAGCGAGACACACAGCACGGAAAGTAGCGCGCGACAGAGCGCTGTTCTCGGCCCCCTGAGCGTATTGGGACGAGCCAGACTAGCATGCACACCGCACGACTTACCCACGCACACCCCGGTGACAATCTTGAGATCTCCCGACAATCTCCCCAAATCTCCTCCCGCTCTCGCGAGTAGCGCGGCGCAGCGGGGCGCGTTGATGTCGATGAATGCAGTGTACTCCTATTCGACACTCTCTAGCACCGGTAAACACACAGGCGTTGCTTACCGAGGTAGTAAAAATCTATGAATGCCTGCCGAAGTGTTGTCGCAATGGCGGCCAAGGAGTCCGTCCCAGCTCCAGGCCAGGACCAGCTCGCCGCTCGGTACCGCCAATTTGCGACTCCAGGCACAGTCGTCGCTAGCACAGTCGTCGCTATCTCACGCTTCTGATCTCGTCACAACAGGCGCCCTCGCCGAGTGCAACGTCCTCGCGGCCGCAAAGCCGTGCTGGCTCGCGCAGAGTCGGCGTCGCAAAGAACCTGAGAGCGCCGCGGCATGCTACGGTTGGCGACGTCCTCGGCGAGGCCATGGAGCTGCATAGCACGAGCGACGAGGGCCGCCGCGGGATAGCACGGACGCCGAGGATCGCTCTCCCGTGCAGCGCCGCAGCGGCTCGTCGGCGGCTCGTCGGCTGCGGCCTCGAACGGAGATCGCATGGAGGTCGAGGAACCTCCCTCTCTGAGCAGTGCTCCAGCGGAGCCTGCGCAGCAGCAGCAGCAGCAGCAAGCAAGCGTGCTCACGCTGGTGGCCGATCTCGAGAGGGAACCTCCTCTCGCCTACCGATCTCGAACTTTGAGTGCGAACAGCAGATCAAGACGGCGAAGACCGGCGTCCATCACTCCGTCTTTCGCAACCCTCTCACGCTCGAGGTCTACATGGCCGCCGCCCACCGAGACGGCGACAAGTTGTACGAGGCGAGCGACGACCTTTTTCGCTGGGCCGAGAGCGAGGAGAGGGCCGAGGTAGCTGCCAGGCGGGCGGAGCGCGCGAGCGGCGCGGCGCAGCTGCCGATGGCGGGCGAGATGGACGTAGACGGCGGTGACGACGACGACGACGACGACCCGGAGGCGGAAGAGGAGGCGGCGAAGGAGGCGGAGGCGGCGCGCCCAGAAGCAGGATGCTTTCCTGCTGCAGGGTGCAGGAGGCGCTGCAGGATCGCTCGCCGCTGCGCGATGCGGCTCGGGCGCCTCGACGCTCGGCCGCTCGGGCGGCGCGCTCGCCCCGGGCGAGTCTGCGCGGCCCGCGCGCGCAAGGCGCGCGCAAGCTGCTGCTGCTCCTGCTGCAGTGGCGGCTGCCTCCTTTTGCTCTTCGGCTGGTACGAGCCGGGCGGCGGAAGGCGGCGACGGGCGGCGGCTGGCAGCGTGGGCCGCGGCGGCGCGCGCTCGACAGGCGGATCGCGGCGCCCGCGAGGCGCGGGCCGCGGAGGTTGGCAGAGCCAAAGGCTCTGTCCTGTTGGAGGTTCCTGCTGGCGGCTCGCCGCCGGTGGTGGGCGGGGAGGGCGGCTGCCCTCGCTCGCTGCCTGATCCTGGACGTGCCCACGTCGTGACTGTCGGAGGTAATTTGCTCGAGCTCGTCTCGGGCGTGGCCGGCACTCCGTTCTCTTCTTTTGGTGAGGCCACGGGATTGGCGGCGGGCGGGGCGGCGGCCGTCGGAACGCCGGCGGGGGCGGTGCTCGAGCGAGCGGGCGCGAAGGCCGGGCGAGGCGGCGGGCGGCGGGCGGGGCGGCGGGCGAGGGGGCTGGCGTCGTGTGCGCGCCTCGGGGAGGCGGCGCGGGTGGCAGGCGCACGCGCGGGTGGGGATTGGGCGAGGGGCGGAGCCGGGAGCGGCTCGCGGGTTGGTCCGGCGTGGGGGGGGCGGGGCGGGGCGGGGCGGGGTGGATCGGGTCGGGTCCACGGGAGCCGCCTAAGCGACTCCTGCGAGGACGGCGAGGCACTTAGCTCCGTGCACTCGACCGCCCTCGCCAGCGAAAAAAGAACAACCCTACCCCTCGTTTCGTTTCTCTTTGTGCCCTTGTTTGTTTCTCTTGGCACCTTGGAGTGCTGGGGGGGGCGACAGGAGGAATGTGGCCCTGAGTTCTGTGTACGCCAACTCAGGGTGTGTGGCAGCCAGCTGGCTGTGTGTCTTGTGAGCTTGTTTGTGTCTGTGTGTCGCTCGTGCGTGTCGTCATCATCTGTCCCGCGTCCACCCATACCGCGTTGGTGTCCAGTCCGAGCCTGGCTGTTCTTCACCTTTCTACCTACCTACCTACTCTTTGTGCACAGTGCACAGCGTCTCTTTGCGAGTGGCCCAAAAAAGAGAAGTTTTCCAGTCCTTGGGTTGTCTGTTTCCTCGACCCGGCCCTAGCTTGGGATGTCCGTTTTATTTATTTTTTCATTGTCTGTTTCCTTTCTTACTAACGCAGGAACACACCACGGAAGCCTCCTACGCGACTCCTGCGAGGACGAGGGACTTCGCTCGTTCTCCGTGTGCACTCGACCGCCCTCTCAGAAGCTACGGTTAGCAGTGTGGATCGGCGACAGCAGCTCCCAGAGGTGGTGGGGCGGCTCCAGGTGGTGGGGCTCCAGGTGGTGGGGCTTCCGGTTTTTCCGGCAAGCCTTGTGGCACCGCTTCACCGCACATTTGAGCGTCGTCGTAATCACCTGCATATGCTGGGACTGTTGTGATGGAATAAGAGTAGCAGCGCGAAGCCTCTGGCTGATACCCATTGGCGTCGCAATCAAGACTATTGATGCCAATGTTCCAGGAGACTCTGCAAGGGTGTTCTCCATCGGTGTAAGGAAAGACTCCCTGGCGTGTGTGAGCCCAACCGACGTAATCACCAGGCAAGAACGGAACTTGTTGGGAGAACGTGTACTCCATGACGCCAACATTCGGTGTGTCGATCTCCTCCGTCTCTCCAATGTACTTAAACCCAGTTCGATATTGTCCCGGCTGCGTAGGTCGGTAGATGCGGAACCGGAACCCCTGGCTGCCAGGATTTTGCACGTAGAACCTCACGCTTCCCAGTTTCCCGGCTGCTGTGAACCCGCCTGCCGCACGGTCGACAAACTCAAAATTACTGCGTGTGTCGATGCTCGGTCTTTCTTTGATTTCCCAGCCCTTTTCCTCGCCTAATCCATCCGCCTCGGAGAGGCGGCGGCGCTGAGCCTCGGTGGAGGGGTCGGCGACGCGGTCGATGGACGAGGCGTCGACCACGTCGGTGGCTTTTGCAGGCGCGGGGGCGCCCCTGGCCGCGTTGAAGCGCGAAAAGGCAAACTCGGTCGCGTAAGGGCTCGCCACCTCGTAATCTGACACCGCGGCCCGCGGCCGGCTCCGCCTCGCCTCACCACTGACCGCCCTGCGGCCCCTGCGCAGGCGTTCCTTCGACCTCGCTCAAAGCAGCGCGTCGGGTCTGCTCCCTTGCCCCGTCACCCGCCGCCCCCTCGCCGGCCGCCTCTCCGCGCAATGATCGCTCGCCTGCTCGCCGCCGCAGCCGCGTGTCCCCGCGCCGCCACGCTTGCCCCCTCTCCTGACGCGCACCCCCCGCAGACGGCGCTCCGGGACAGACGGAGCAGCGACCGCGCCGCGGTCGCTGCTCCGCCCCTCCGTCGCGCGCGCCGCGCGCGCGCGCTCTTCCGCCGCTGCCGCCGCCGCTGCCGCCGCCGCCGCTCCGTCCTTCCCTCCGTGTGTCTCATGAGGGTATGAGAGAGAGAGAGATTTAACTACGGGGATCGGCTTCTTACACAGCCCTTCCCTGCAGCGAGCCCCCTCCAACCCACCCGCGCTAGGTCTCGGGGGACGCAGGGGTCAGCCCCGCGCGACCTCGGGAACTAGCCGGGGCAGTCGGAGAAGGGGCAACTCCGTGCACTGACGGTCGGCCGTCAGAAAACACGCCTGCGTGGCTCGGGTTACACCAATCCTCGCTACCCAACGCGGCCAAAGGATATCCACCTCGAGAACCTCGAGAGGCGGTCACACAAACACAGACACTTGCTTAGTCCTCGGTCCGAGCAGACTTTCTTTTCGTTTTCGCACTTGGCAACCACCACTCGCTCTCACAATGCTCTTCTGCGTGATGCCGGCCGCAGTCTCGCTCGTCTGCAAGACGCCCTCTCGTCCACTTCCGCGCCCGCTCGCCGCGGACGGCGACGGGGAGGCATCGTTCACGTATGACTCGGTGCAGCGGCGGCTGCCGCTCATCGTCGAGTCCGTCATCGACAAGAACAGCTACAGCGAGGCGCTCCAGGCGGACCTGCGCTCGCTCGCCGGCGAGATCGCCGCGGGCGAACCGCTCAAGCCGCTGGCCGCGCCTTCAGCAGAGTGGGAGGACGCGCTGGCGCCTCTCCTCGCCGCTGGCGACACTTGGCTGTCGGCACAAATCGTGCGCGAATGCCGGGATCAGTTATCCGACACAGCGTCATCCATGTACCAAGCCAGATGTGAAACTGAGTTGACCACTCTACAGCGCGCCATCCAGGGAACTCTTTTTATTTTTTCTCGCAGGAGCCGCGCAGTCCTTGGCTCGTTTGGGGCTTGGTTGGGTCTTATCGTCGTGGACTCTCGCTACAGCTCCTCCGTTTTCCGTCTCCTGACATGGATCATGGTAGATAGTGGCTGCCAGTTCGAGACTGGGGCCGAGCCAAACGGCAGAATTTGAACTTTGCCCTCATCAGCTGCCCTCATCACGCGCCGGCTGAGGTCTCGGGGAGATCCTCTTGGTTTTCTTTTTCAGCCATCGAGGATAAGAACAAACGCCAAGGCGAATGCTCTCGGGTCCATCGGACCCGCCGCCCCCCCTCCCCACCCGCGCGCCCTGCTGCTGCTGGTCTCCCTTTTGAGGAAAGTTTTGGGCGAGTTTTTCTTCTTTCTGCTGCCCGGAGATATCACAAATGATGAGCCCAAACCTCCCGGCCGACCTGGCGGTGGGCGACCTGGGCTCGCTGCGCGCCGTCCTGTCCGGGTGGGGGACGCGCGGCACGTCGCTCACGGCGCAGCTCGACGCGCGGCTCGACACCGAGAAGCAAGACACGCTCCTCACCTTGGCCGCTCGCCACGGGCAAGCCGAGGCGGTGCGGCTGCTGCTCGAAGCCGGCGCGAGCGTTGGGGTGACGACTGGCGGCCGCGGCGGCTCCGCGCTGTACATCGCGTGCCAGAACGGCAACCTCGAGTGCGCCCGGCTGCTCCTCGAGGCCAACGCGGCAGTCGATCAAGCCATGAAGGATGGCTCCACGCCGCTGACCATGGCGTGCCAGAACGGCCACGTCGAGATCGTCCGGCTGCTCCTCGAGGCTGGCGCGGCGGTCAAGCAAGCGACGAACCATGGCTTCACGCCGCTGTACATCGCGTGCCAGAACAACCACCTCGAGATCGTCCGGCTGCTCCTCGAGGCCAGCGCGGCGATCGACCAAGCGACGAACCATGGCTTCACGCCGCTGCGCGTCGCGAGCCAGAGTGGCCACCTCGAGATCGTCCGTCTGCTGTGCGTTGCTGGCGCAGCGGTCGGCCAAGCCGACAAGCAAGGCGCCACGCCGCTGCTCATGGCGTGCCAGGAGGGCCACCTCGAGTGCGCCCGGCTGCTCCTCAAGGCTGGCGCGGCGGTCAGCCGAACCAACGACGGCCGCGTCGCCCCGCTGCACACCGCGTGCCAGAAGAACCACCTCGAGGTCGTCCGGCTGCTACTCGAGGCTGGCGCAGTGGTCGACCAAGCCGCAGAGGACGGCGCCACACCGCTGTACATCGCGTGCTTTAACGGCCACCTCGAGATCGCCCGGCTGCTCCTCGAGGCCAGCGCGGCGGTCGGCCAAGCCGAGAAGCGAGGCGCCACGCCGCTGTTCATCGCGAGCCACAATGGCCACCTCGAGTGCGCCCGGCTGCTTCTCGCTGCTGGCGCAGCGGTCGACCAAGCCGAGGAGCGAGGCGCCACGCCGTTGCTCATCGCGTGCCAGAACGGCCACCTCGAGGTCGCCCGGCTGCTCCTCGAGGCCAGCGCGGCGGCCAACCAAGCCAAGCAGGATGGCGCCACGCCGCTGTTCATCGCGTGTCAGAACGGCCACCTCGAGATCGCCCGGCTGCTCCTCGCGTTTAGCGCGGCGGTCAGCCAAGCCAAGAAGAATGGCGTCACGCCGCTGTTCGTGGCGTGCCAGCGGGGCCAGCTCGAGTTCGCCCGGCTGCTCCTCGAGGCTGGCGCGGCAGTCAACCAAGCCGAGGAGGAGGGCGTCATGCCGATGAGCATGGCGTGCGCGGAGGGCCACCTCGAGGTCGTTCAGCTCCTCTCCTCCTACGGCGCCTCCCGCGCCGCAACGCTCCTCGGCACGTCGGAGGAGGCCGCAAGCCGCAGCGGCCACGCCGACCTCGCCGCTTGGCTGGTCGCCAGCCGCGGCTGGACGCCGCTCCAGCACCTCGAGGCGTGCCCGAGACTAGCGGCTGAAGAAGCGTGAGTGCATTGTCCTCACGCTCACTGTCCCTCCTCCCGCAGGCGCTCACCGTCGACCGGGCGCGGGCGCTGCTGCGCGGCGGCGCGGACTCTTCGGCCGGCGAGCCGTCGGCCCTCGAGCGGGCGCGCGTCCTCTGCTCGTGGGGCGAGTCGGATCCGACCGCTGCGGCCGTCGGCTCCACCGTCGCGATCCACTCTCTCGTCTCGCGGCCGTCGATGAATGGCAAGGTCGGCGTCGTCGTTTTCGCGAGCGCTTCGACGGGACGCTTCGGCGTGCGCGTGGCGGGCGAGGCCAAGGCCCTCGCTATGAGGCGCGCTATGGCCTCTCCCCCACTCGCCGGATCCTCTCTTTGGACACACCCCACGCCTCCGCCCATCCTCAGGCCGGCCAACCTGGAGCCAGAGGCCGCGGCGGTGGAGGCGGGCAGGCTCATCCTCAAGGCGGCGGAGTGGTCTCCGCAGTCGCACGAGCTCTTCCCGGAGGCGGCTCGCAAGCGGGCGGTCGAGGTGATGCGGCTGGGCTACCTGATCGCTTGGGACGAGGAGCGCTTCGATAGCCGCGAGGGAGCGGCTCCGGAGCTGGCGGACCTCTGGCGCAGCTTTGTGCTGCCAAGGGTGGTGGTGCGGCCCGCCGCAGGCGCACCGCGTTCCCCATGATACAGCAGAGCATGTCTTCCTCTGAGGCGAGCTGTAGCACTGGCACTAACACAGGTACACCACTGTGGTCAAGAAGAGCAACACAGCCCGCTCGCTCGCCAGTCCCGCCCGGCTCCATCCAGTCCGAGCGCCGTGGACGCGTGAGAGTGTGTCGGCAGCCTATCACGTTGTACGTGCCTCCCCGTGTTTTTTCTTCGCGGGGATCTGCCCCGCACCCCGCCGCCGGGGCTCTGCCCCGGACCCCGCTGGGGCTTCGCCCCAGACCCCACTTTTCACTACAGGGAATTATCTGATGCACATATTCGTGGCGCTACCCGTTGGTTTGGTCCGTCTGGCGCGGCAGCGGGACGTTAGCCGCCTCCGGCGGCAGGGGGGGGGGGGGCGACCCCAGGGGACGGAAACCGACCGGGGAGGAGCCGGGAGGGCGTCCCCCAAAGTTGCACAGGCAAAACCGTTTCAGACCGTACCAATAAGCAATATTTCAACTCTTGAGAGCTTGAGAACTTGCCTGATCTTGCCTGCAAGTTGACATGTCAAGTCTCTCTTGCCAGTTCGGTCGCGTCGGGGCCCTGTCTGCCCGGCGCTGTCTGCCGTCGACTGGCAAGCGCCTGCTAATGCGCGCCATGATCATGGCCAGCGCGCTTGCGGTCGCCGTGCGCGGCCAACGGGTGCACCCCAGCGCTCCGAAATGGTGCCCTCACCTCATGGCGAGTGCTGGCTCATCAGCTCATCAAGACCTGCTCGAGTACTGCGGATACCTCGTGAAGGCACACAGCATGGGCCTGGAAAAGAGTGCCATCGTCGTGGATGTCGGCACCGACCAAGGCACCGAGGCGCTCACGTCGCGCGGGTTCGGCCATCCGGTCATCACATTTGAGTGTCGAGGATCACAGGCGCAGCGCCTTCTACGATCGCCCTGGTTCAACAATGACACTGGCTTGCGCCTTGTGCACGCGTGTGTGACCGATCATGCCGGCCTGGGCTCGCTGCATCGCGCCGTCGACTCGAGTTCGATGCTGGAATCCTCGATACAGAACCCAGGCGCGGCGTGGAAGGCGAACCGAGAGCGACGGGCTGGTGAGGGGATTGAACCGGTGCCCGTGATGCGGCTCGACAGCGCGCTGGATGCCCGCTCCTTTGAGGCGCTCGGCTGGTCCGGACTTGCCGGCCGTCGCATCGGGTTCCTCAAGCTCGACGTGCAGGGTGTCGAGAAGACGGTACTGCGTGGCGCCGTCGAAACGTTGCGCAGGCACCGGCCGTTTATAGCCTTCGAGTACACGCTTTTGCCTGAGAGCGATCGCAATGGGACGACTCTCATCAATGAAGTGCTGCGCAACGCATTCCACGGTGGTGGCCATAGGCGCGTGCACTACTCCTGCGAGTGCGGCCGCAACGATTGCTTCTGCCACGCGCCTTGGGCATGAGCTTCTGGCCGATGGACGCGCGAGTTTTGCCGCCTGGCCGACGGGATTTAGCAGTTAGTTAGGTCTGTAGGTGTACTCTCTCTCTCTCTAGGTGTATTGTTGGCAAATCAAGTTAGTTAGGTCGGTGCAAAGCCATGCAAGGATATGGACGCATTGAGCTGGGGGGGTCACAGAGCGATCGGCTCCGACACGAGAGGCTCATAAGGGGTAGAGTGTTGGCGGCACAGATGCGCCGCGGGGAGCCGACCGTCACTGCTGCGACTGCGTCGTCGGCCGCGCCCGCGGGGCGCGGGCGGCCGAGCGCCCGAGCCTGTAGTCAAGGGTTGGGGCGGGGTTGCTCGGGTCGGGGGGGGGCGGGGTTGTGGGGTGGGGTGGGGATGTCGGGGTGGAGAGTGGGTGGGCGCCGGGGTGGGAGTGAGTGGTGTGACTGCTCCTGTGGTGCGGGCGACGGCTTCTGAGGAAGCCGTCGCCCGCGCCTCGCCTGTCGCGTGAATCGTGTCGTGCGACCGCCTTTTGTTGTAAAGAGAGAGAATTCTTGATACGAAACCACGACGACACACACCAGTCGACTCGCATCGGTTGCCTCCATGAACGGCGGAGCTATTCTCGCGCCCACACCACACCTGGCTCCAACGTGGACACGCCCATAGCTGGGGACACTACTAGGTCTCTCTCTCTCTCTCTCTCTCTCTTTTGTTGTAAAATATCAAAAAAAAAATTCTCGGGCGTGGGCTCGCCCGTGCCGCCGGAGACCTGCATTTTTAGCCAGCCGAGCCTGAAGCAGGCTGACTAAGTGGGCTAACCAGGTGGTGCAGCAGGGCTGGCGGAGATGCCCAACAGCCTCGTCTGGGCCGTCATCGGCATCGATCTCTTGCTCTTTGCCTGCCTCCTCCTCGCCGTGCTCTGGCGCCGGCGCCGCTCTGCTCATGCTCCTCCTCCTCCTCCGCCGCCGCAGCCGCAGCGCCGTGATTTCGTCATCGTGGACGTCAACAATGTGCGTGGTGGCCGGCGCTTTGACCGGGACGTCGACGAGGCGGTCGCCGGCCTCGTCTGGTGGGCCTCCAGTCTGCCTGGCCGGCCTGCTGTCGTGCTCGCGGTGGATCACGGACCCCAGGCGTGCACCTATGCGCTCGAGGGCACGCGCTGCCTCGTCTGCTTCGCCGGGCCGAACATGGAGGCGGACGACACCATTGTCTGCTCCACCTACTTTTGCGCGCGCCGCGCCGAGCCGGTGGTCCTCGTCTCGTCGGACTCGAACCTGCGGCTGCGCTGCGCCGCGGCCGTCGCCAACCCGCCCAAGGACGGGATCGCGCGGCCCGTCAAGCGCGGCGGCGGCCGCCTCTCCTACCTGCCTCGCGACGGTGCCAGCCTTCCGGCCGCAGGAGTCCTGCTCGCGCCTCGGCCCGGAGAGGGGGCGGAGCAGCTGCTGCTGCGCGACATCGTCGGACCGGCGCCCCTCTCGGCCAAGGCGAGCGCCGCCCTCCGGTACAGCCGCCGGGAGCGCTCCGGAATCAAGTCCGAGCTGACGTCGATGCGCGTCACGCAGGCCGAGACGCTCTTCCACCGCCTGGAGCAGTCTCGCTTCGCGAGCCTGGTGGCGGGCCCGGCGCCGCCGGACGCGGAGCCGCTCATCGCGCACGCCGCGTGGCTCAACGACTTGGAGGCGCTCGAGGCGACGCGGCGGCGGCTTGGGGCGGAGATGCGGGGGTACTGGGATGCGCAGGTGTTTCCGAAGTCCGAAAGAGTCGAGGCGGAATAAGCTAGGGAATACGTGTGTAAGTGACTATTACCTAAGTGTGACGACTGTCGTGTGTACTGTACTGTATCAGTTCGCTCGGCTCCACTCTTGGAAGTCAGAGAACCACCGCAACTCCAACCTACATGTACAACCTATAAGAGAGGGCCGCGTAGGCCAGGCTGCACCCGGCCACCAGCACTCCGACAGACAGGCTCCAGTAGACAGCGGCGACCGTGCCGAGCAGCCTGTTGCCCGCGCGGACAGTCCATTCAGCTGGCGGGGCGCGCTTCCACTTGCTCGCCATCGCTCGCATGAATGGCCCCTCGACGTATGTGGCAAAGGCAGCCGCGAGGATCCACAGAGAGAGAAGGAAAAATACGAGGTATGGTCCGAACTGGGGGTTGCCAACTTGCAGATTTGGCCCTTCCAGCATCAGCCACAGGTTGTGTGTCGGCTCCTGGAACACGTACACCTGCAGCGAGAGCGCGCCGACGGACGCCATCGCTCGCGATGAGAAGAAGGCGAGTAAGGGCCCCCCACCTGCACGCACGTCACCACCAACCCCACCACCACCGCCGCCGGCACAAACGGTTGCGCCCGTCGCCCTCTGCCTGCTCTGCTGGCAGTGAGCGGCCGATCCCAGCATGAAGGCGGCAAAGAGCGGCGACAGGCAGCTAGAGAAGGCGAGGCGGCCGGCGCAGACATCGTACACGCTCGCCGGCCCAGCTGGAGGCCAGCCGGCGGCGCGTCCGCACTCGACGTCGCCCCAACCGTGCGCGGCGATCGCCACGGCGGCGAGAATGGACCCGCTCGCGACCCACCGCCAGGGGAACCACTCGGCGGCGATCCCGTGCCGCAACAGCTGGGCGCACGCCGCGCCGAGCACAAAGTCAGGCAGGCGCACCACGGGCGAGACGTGAAAGAGCTTCTCGAGGCAGGGGTAGCCCGCGTCGGTGACGCCACTACCCGGCAGCCACGCGGGGATCCACTCGAGGGGCTCGCTCCCTCCCACGACGGAGCCGGCGAGCAGGAGCCACATGCCCGCATTGCTCACGACGCAACCGACCACCACTGCGCTGAGCTGCGCAAGGCTCGCATGCCGAAGCCGCGGCTGCATGGCCGGATAGAGCAGCCAGCAGCACGAGAGAGTCGAGATGGTCCAGCTGACGCTATTGTAATTCCCAAAGCTAGCCACCGTGCTCTGCGCCATCAGCACCTCCGGGAGCAGGCGCCTCCAGTGGAAAGGAATCGAAAGGTTGTGGATCCTGATTGAGAGCCTGAGCAGTGCGATGCCGAGAGCCAGGGCCGCATAGTAGGAGAGAGCGACGCGCGTGAAGCGCTTGCGCCAGAAGAGGAACCGCGCCTCCGGGTTAAAGTCTCGCTGCCCATAGGCATACGAGGTGACAAAGCCCGACAGGACGAGGAAGTACGAAACGGCTGCGTTGCCATGGGCCAGGAACCACCTGGCGTCGCCTCCCGAGTACACCTTTCTGCCATCCACCATCCTGGAGCTAGCATAGTGCTCCATTACCACCCACAGACTAGCTAGGCCGCGTGCACCGTCAAGGGGTGCAAGGTGCAGTCTTGCCGGCTTCGAGTTGCGAGGCTGTGGCACTGAGTTGCCATCACGGGTTGGCGACGACGGCGCACCTTTTCCGGCGTCGATCTGCACGGCGGAGTCCGAAACGGGCAAGTCGCTCGTCGCCGACATGTTCCGAGCGGCACCAGGGGTTTTCGGTCGTCCTCATCGTTCCACGTTCGGTCCATAATGGCGCTGTATTGGCTTCTGGCGTGTTTTCCGTTCCCCTTTCCGTTCCCCTTTCCAGCGCCCCGCGCCCCAGAGCTTTCGGAACCTGCCTGCTACCCCCGCGGCGTGGCGTTGGCGCTTGCTTGCTTGCTAGCAACACACACACACACACACACACACACACACACACACACAGAGAGAGAGAGAGAGAGAGAGAGAGAGAGAGAGAGAGAGAGAGAGAGAGAGAGAGAGAGAGAGAGAGAGAGAGAGAGAGAGAGAGAGAGTATCGCGCGCCTTGCTTGCGGGGGGGCGCGGAAAAAAAAGAGGAGGAACAACCTCTTAGAGAGAGAGAGAGAGAGAGAGAGAGAGAGAGAGAGAGAGAGAGAGAGAGAGAGAGAGAGAGAGAGAGAGAGAGAGATGAGTCTCGCTTCTCTATCACTTCTCTCGGCCCCCACAACGCACAAGACAGACAGCTGACGCCCCGACAAATCAGTCCCATGAGTTTCTATCCTCGCAAAAACTCACGCGATGTGTGCTCGCATTCACACCTAACATAGGCACGTGCGTTCCCTTCCTGCCCCCAAGCACTTAGAAAGAAAGAAAACAGACAACCCAAGGGAGGGATGGGTGGGAGGACGGCACGCCGCCACCACACAGGGATTTTAAGGAGAGGGGTGTGGTGCTAGCCGTCGCCCACCCTCGGGCGTCTACCACTTCCTACAGTATCTCTCTTCGCAGTTTCTCACCAAGCACTTGGAGTACTCGGGGCCCGAAGCAGAAGTTCTTTGTACGTGGGTAAAACGTTCCGTAACGAACCCCCTCAGCCAACAAATGGCGAGCGGGCAAGATATCACCCTCGCTGACGACAGCGAACTTCCGCCAGCGCCGCCCGTGCCGCCGCCGCCTTCACCGGAAGAGGAGGAGGCGCGCCGATTGACCAAGGCAGTGTTCTCCATGTACGACGCTGGAGGCACCGAGACAGTTGACGCGCATCATGTCGGTGACATGGTGCGGCAGCTGGGCATTTTCCCGAGCAGCGCGGATCTGCAGAACATTAAACTCGAGCTGCTAGAGCATGGTGGGGAATCCACGCTGACGTACGAGCGATGGGAAGGGGTTATGAGCGGCCTGATCCTGAGCAGGCGCTATCCACGCGACTCGGAGGAGGTGTCACGCGTGTCTGCCGGCCACACGCCACACAGAGGGGCACGAGAGGCCCGGTGTAACTCAGGTGCTGCAGCGAGCCTTTCGCGCGATCGACACCAAGGGCGAGGGCTACCTGAATCCTGAGTCTCTCCGGAAGCTCCTCACTTTGCGCGGCGACAAGCTGTCTGAGGCGCGAGGCGCGGAGTGCGAGGGGAGCACAACCATCATGCTGTGACGCCCCCCCCCCCCGCGCCCTTTAAAGGAGGAGGTTGAGGAGTTCATGCGCTATGCCGTCGACTCGGAGACCGGGAGGATATTCTACAACGAGTATGCCGCCGCTGTGGGTCCTTAGCCTTCCCGTCGCTGTCCACCCCTTGCCGCTGATCAGGCCGTTAGGGTTCTCGTACTTGCATGGGAAGAAGGAGCTCGAGTGCACGTGCACCAGCGCTCGAAAGTCGTAGCAGCCCGTGACGTCGCTGCGGCCGTTGAAGCAGGGGGGCGATAAGTTTGGTTGTAAGCGTTTGGTTGCGTAGCTCCAAGCCATCGAGATAAGTCACCCACAAGCTGTTGACCGAGAAGAATCGTGTAACACCCATGCACACTTGCAATGTTCAAGCCTCTCGTGAGCGCTACGGCTTGACACGCGTGTGTGTAGCTGTAGCTGTAGCTGTAGCTGTATAGGGTGTAGTGATGAAAATGAGGCACGAGGGCGACGCACTTCGTACGCTACGAGGAGATACAATTAGGCAAGGCAGCTGCGCAGGTGATGGTCCTGTTTGCAGAGAGGGGAGTCAAGGAAGGCCAAGAAATCACATGGTCATATGGGGACTCATACAGGAGCCACCGCAAGGAGATGGGATACAGGGCGGGGACCAGGGCGGATCCGAACGCAATAACACCCCAGCAAGCGCGGACGGCATTCGCGAGATACTGCAAAAAGATAGACGTGACGAAGGAGGAGCTAGCGTGGAACTTTGGATGCATATCGGCAAGCCAAAATAACGAGCAGGAGGCTGTCCTGGTGCGTGAGCTAATCCTGAGCAACAATAAGCGACTGTACCACGGAGCACAGAGCGCAGCAGACAGGACGGCGGCGACGGCGGACATGGCAGAGACGAGTGTGAAACAAAGGGCGGCGGGCATGGAGGGCGGTAGCGACGGGGATGGAGACGGTGACGGTGGCGAGGGAGAGGAAGGGGGTCCATTAACACCAGATAGCGAGAGGGGCAGGGAGGAAAGGGGGAGAGAGGAAGCCAACGCGACGTGCGCAGAGGATGAGGATATAATCTGGGACGACGCAGCGGAGGGGATAGGCGAGGGAATCGAGGGACCGGAGGGCTTTCGCGACAGCGACGATGACGACGAAGAAAGGGGAGGGGACGGAGGGGCGACACGCAGGAGGAGCGAAATCGCTAACGGCCCGAGCAGAGAGGGCGACGGCGGGGCACGAGGGAACAACGGAGACGCTACCGATGACGCGAACCGAGGCACGGACGCCGGCGGGGACGGGGAGGGCGACAGCGACGTCGAGGTTGACGCAACCGTATCGAGAGCGCCACCCAAAAAGGGGCGGACAGCCATGGAGGTCACCGAATGGAGGGCGAACGGCACGATGCGAAAAGGCAGGGCGAGGCGGATGGAGAAAGAAGTGCCGAGAAGGCCATGGTGGAGGGGAGGGACGGGAGGACGAAAGAAGGGCGAGGAGGACGAGCGGCCCGCACAGACCGCGAGCAGACAGCGCCTGCTGGCCATTTCGAGACATTCGCCAAGAACGCTAGCTACATGGGAGGGCTTCGTGAAGGATGGATTGAAAAACATTCGAACAAAGAAGAGGCGACGGGAGGAACCGGCGGAGGATGCAGTGACGTGACACACACACACACACACACACACACACACACACACACACACACACACACACACACACACACACACACACACACACACACACACACACACACACACACACACACACACACACCCCGCTCACCCACGCGCACTGGGCCTTGCACTTTGAATGCCGTGGGGCTCCTGTCGTCAGACGTGGAGACGCGAGGGTTGCCCCCCCTTGCCCCACCACCTCGTGTGTGTGGAGAAGTTTACCTTACCTTACCTTACCTTATGAAAAGAGATGTTTATGTTCATGTTTATGTATTATGACACGCGTCGTGTCGTGGGGGTGTATCTACGATTATCAGAGGAGTACCCCACCCTGGCCACATGCTATAGTAGACAGAATCTACGTGCGCTGCTCTTCGCTGTGCCGGCTGCCCGGCTGCCCGCGAGAAAACAGGCTCGAAGGTTATCCATTCCCAAGCTCACGCATTTGTTTGCCATGCGCAGCTGCCCGCCGTCGTCCGAGGGTCGTCATCATGTGCTCCACCTCGTCGAGAACCGTGAGCCAACGGCTCGAATTGATGGCGATCTCCATCCTCGCGTCGTTGAAATCGTACACTACCTTTTGACGCATGTGCCATTGGACGCCCCTGTCATCGGATCTGCTCCTCCCTCGTTGTATCCACCAGATGTTCCCTTGGGCCAGACTCCGTATGTCACACGAGCGCCAACATAGGCAACGCCGGAAGAGATAAAAAGAAGAGAGTAACCAGCGCCGTCGAATGTGTGTGCAAAGCGGGGCACCGAATGCGTCGGCACACTGTGTCCGGTGGCTCCACAGCCCACTGCTTGTTCACACCAGCGCGTGCCGTTCATGCGGGCACGCACCGAATCGACAAGTGACTGCTGGCCATGCCAGCGGCGCGTGGTTTTGCCATGGCTAGCAAGGCCGTGGACACCAATGAGCACGGTGTCCGGCGCTGCGCGAAGCGGGATGTCACAATAAGCGTAGACCCTATCACGATACAGGGATGCGCCTCGCGAGTCTCCCGCAAAGGCAAACCCTTTTTGCAGCATCAGGTCGAAGCAGACGGAGCTAGCGCCTGCCCAAGGCGCCTCGTGCCCAAAATCCTCTTTGTGTGGCAGGGCGCCTTGCTGCAGAAAAGCCACGTGAACGGGCGGCTTGGTGCCTTGGACGAGCGCCTCTATAGACGCACGGCGGTGAGCGAAGCCGCCATGACTGTGTGGTACCCTGTGACCAAACCCATCCTGAATACCATGGCTGATATTGCCGGTGGCCAATGCGCCGTCGTCAATGAGAACCGTCGAGATCACAAACGATCGGTCGGTGCGCTTCGCGGAAGCCTGCTCGGCGAGGATGTGTGCAAAGAAGACGAGGTCCTTGACGGCGTGCCCGACATTGATGTTGGCGTGCAGCTCGGGTAGTAGCACTGCAACACCTGGGATGCGTCGGCGCGGCGCTTCTGCCGATCCGAGAGGTATTCGACGACAGTATTTGAACGGCGGCGCCGCCGATATGATGTCAACCCAGTGCTCACGAGTGGGATCGGGCAGAAAAGCGCCGGCAAAGGGTGCACTGAACGTACAGCCGAAACGCGTGAGATTTGGAGCGCAGCCTGTGTAGCGGTTGAAGTCCAGGTTGGCGCTCTCCCCAAGTGCAAGCACAGAACCTTGACGAGACGCGACGTTCCGGCGCAGCGTGAAGTGCGCCGGAGACGTGCCTGGTGCCAACGGCGTGCCCTTTGCGGCAAGCCTCGCCAGCTTCGAGCAAGGGTCTAACATTTGTGAGCGGCGGCGGAAAGAACTCCAGTTCCCAGTGTCGCGAAAGAGTTTATGCGACAACCAGATGCCGTCGGACTGACCACGCCGCCAGTACTGTCTCGGTGTAGGATTTCTCAAATCGATGCATGAACGAGTAGAGCCAATACCATGGAAAGATGGCAGTACGGTAGCAACTGTTGGCGCACCCTCAATGGCAGCAAACTGTAAGAGTCCGGAGAGATCAGTGCCGTCAAAGTCCTGGAGAGCGGCGGAATGTGCGACACCACTTATCACCGGCATCGGATTCGCCGTGCGTTACTTTCGTGTCCAAAGCAAGCCGCGCGCAACCGGCCGACGCGAGCCCGAGGCCCTCAGGGCTGTCGCATTAGTCCGTCACTGCCGTCAAGGCGGCCGCGACGACCGCCTGCATCCGCTCTGCAAGCCAGCACGTGCCGTTGACCCACTCGGCGACGCAGTTTCGGCCGACGTGAAGGCGCTGAAGGGCGACTGATAGGTGAGAATGGCGAGGTTCACATTCACGGAAGCGAGCGCTGGCAGTAGTAGCGACAGCATGGATGGCGGGGCGCTGCGATGACGCGACCAAAGCAAGCGACGTGCCGGCAAGGTCAAGCGAGGGCGTCTCCTCCATTCTGACACGCCTTGTTTCTCTTCTTTTCTCCCGATGTCCCTCTCCTCCCCCGGTTTGAGGCAGCCGGCGGGCTTAGCCAATCTCGCGTTTTCTTTGATACGTGAATTTTTTCTTCTGACTGCCTTCGTTCGCCAGACGGCCGCCTTCGCTGCCTCATGGTCGCACTCTCCTTCGCCGCCTCGTTCGGCTCGCACATGGTACTTCAGCAGGCGCCAGCGCGTGCATCGCTGTGGGGCTTCGCGCCGGCGAGCGCCACTGCCGTGGCAATCGAGCTTGCCGCCGACGCTGCATCGACACCCATCGCCGTCAACAACTTCACCGCTCAAGCTTCGCTGGCGCGCTTCAACGCGACCGCCCTGGTTTGGTCCGTCCTACTGCCAGCCGTGGCAGCGCAGAAGCGGCCCGACGGCTCCGCGGTGCAGTACAGCGTCACGGCGAGGATGGGTTCGGAAGCTCACGCCACACTCCTCGACGTCCTCTTTGGCGAGGTCTGGCTCTGCTCTGGCCAGTCCAACATGGCCTTCCTCGTCGAGAACTCGTTTGGCGGCGCAGACCTGGTGCAAGACGCAAATAACCACCCCGAGATCCGGCTCTTCACCACGCGCAAACTCACGGCGCAGAGGCCGCTGCAGGAGCTCGGCGAGAGCACCAACAGGGGCGACTGGGTGGACGGAGTCGAGCTGCCGTGGTCGGTGGCGAGCAACGTCTCCATCTCGATGAACGCCCCCCGCGCCGGCGGAGCGAATGACGACAACTGGCTGTACATGTCCGCGGTCTGCTACCTGTTTGGCAGGGCGCTGCAGGCGGCCAGGAAGACCCCGATCGGCCTCATCAGCACGAACTGGGGCGGGACGGCAATACAAGACTGGATGCCGCCCGCCGCCCTGGACGACTGCAGGCACGTGTCGGCCGATGCGGCGGCCGAGTCACTGGCGGCGGAGGGCGGCGGGGCGGAGGGCGGCGGGACGGAGGGCGGCGGGGCGGAGGGCGGCGAGGCGGAGGGCGGAGAGGGTGGCGTCCGCGCCGCCGCGAACCTCTCCACCTGCCTTCCCTGCTGCGAGGAGCCGCTGCCGGGGCAGTTGTGCTGCTGCCCCCCGCCTGGCTGCGCGATCCCGCCGTCGTGCCCGCCGCCGCCGGCACTGGCAGAGGGAGCGGGGTCGGGATCATCGCTGGCAGAAGAGGGGGCAAGGATATTGGCAGAGGGTGTGGCGGCATCGCGCGTGGCGACGCACCTATACAACGCGATGGTCTCGCCGCTGCGGAACGTCACGCTCGCTGGCGTGGTCTGGTACCAAGGCGAGTCGAATGGCGGCGCTCCCGTCCCGTACGCCTGCCAGCTGCCCGCGCTGGTCAAGCGGTGGCGGGAGGGCTGGGGAGGCTGGCGGCGACACGACCACGGCTTCGCCTTCGGTGTGGTGCAGCTGGCGGGCGACGTCGACGAGAAGGCGCCGATCGCGCTGCCGATCTTCCGCTGGCTGGGCCAGACGCAGGGCTTCGGCTCGCTGCCCAACACCAAGATGCCAAACACCTTCCTGGCGAGCGCGTTCGACCTCGGCGACGCGGCGTCCCCGTTTGGGTCCGTCCATTCCCGCCACAAGAAGGAGGTTGGCGAACGGCTCGCCCTCGCTGCGAGGCGCTGGGCGTACCGGGAGCCCTCCATCACAGCGGGGCCCATCCTGCAGAGCGCGGTCGCCGACGCCGGACGCCGGCGCGTCGTGCTCACCTTTCGGGAGGTTGGCCCATCCGGCCTCGTGCTCTCACGCATGAACACATCGAGGGTGAGGCCCGGCCCTCGACCCCGCCGCCAGCGCGTGAACGCACCGCCACCCTCATACCCTCTCACCCTCTCACCCTCTCACCCTCTCACCCTCATCCTCATCCTCCCACCCCCCCACCCTCTCTCCCACCCTCCCACCCTCTGTCCCACCCCCGCCCGCTCACCCTCTCAGCCTCGCGACCCTCATAAGGCGCACAACATGACCAACTGGGACGGCACCACGCCGTTCGAGGTGTGCGCCGACGGAGCGGGCGCGGCGTGCGGCGCGATGAGCACGTCGTTCGACGGCGCTTGGTCGCTCGCTCCGAGAACCAGCCTCGGCGCCGACGGCAAGAGCATCGTCCTGAGCGGCTTTGCGGACGGCGGCAGCGGCCGGGGCCGCGGAGGGCGTGCAGAGTTCCCACCCGCGGCGGTGAGGTTTGCATGGCGGGCTTACCCGTGCGAGGTGCTCGGATGCGGCGTGTACACTGTGGTGGGGGGCGTCCTGCTCCCACCGGCGCCCTTTCACAGCGCGGTGGAGGTGTCGACGAAGTTGGCGCTCCCGCCCTCCCCGTTTTTGCGCGCTCGCGCCGAGTAGCCCGCTCTCGCAATTACCGGTACCGCGTAATCGCGTCCTCAAGTACGTTCTTCGAAAACCTACTGTCCCGCGAACGCGTGACGCCTGACGCGTTTTTGCACGGGCAGGTGCCAGGTGGTAGCAGGCGCGCAGCTTGAACGGCTTTCCAGCCCACCCCACGTGGTCAACCTCTGCCGCTCGCGTCGCCACCGCCTCGCCCGTCGCCTCCAGCTCGATCTCAAGCCTGGCGAGCGCCGCCTCTCCCTTCTCCAGCGCATCTGTCTGCCAGCCGACGCCGGTGAAGAAGACCCGGCCAGCCGGCAAGTCTGCCCCGTTACGCTCGGCTCCCGCCGGAAAGTCGAGGTGAAACTTCGCCAACTTGGCGCCAAAGACCGCATTGTTGGAGATCCACGCCCACGCTCCGGCCGTGACTGGCACCTGTTGATCATGATTACCAGTCACTAACTACTAACTATTAATTGACTCGTCGCGCGCAGCATGTTGAGCACCTCGCACAGGCCGTCGGCGGTGACGAAGCGGCCAGATGCGAGAGGAGTGAGGCGCCGCTGCTGACCGTGCGGGCCCAGCAGATCCTCACGGCCGCTCTCAATCGGCTCGCCCTCATCAAACCGTGCCTCGATGCTGAAGCGAAGCCTCGAGTCTTCGACGGTCCATTCGCCGCGAGGGTAGAGACCATCCTGTCGGCCCGCACATATCTGGATCGTCCAGGTCGTGCCTGCCAGAGTGGCTGCTGAGGCGGGCGGGGCTCGAGGCAGCCCTAGTGCGCGAGGCGTCGTGACGGCCGAGACTGTCTGCCAGAACAAAGGTACCATGGCCTTTATCGTGCCATGTCGGTGTCCTCTTGGCTGGACACACGGGCACACCGTTATTTTTTGTTTTTGAGAGCGCCTTCGTTGTTAATATGTGCCTCGCCGGCCGGAGAGATTGCTGGAGGTAGAGCAAGCCTGCTCTAGCCTCGCATGTCACTTCCTGTCGTCTGTTGTGTCGTTGTGCCTTTGTTTGTTTCTCTTGGCACCGTGGAGTGCTGGGGGGGGCGACAGGGAGGATATGGCCTTGAGTTATGTGTACGCCAACTCAGGGTGTGTGGCAGCCCGCTGGCTGTGTGTCTTGTGAGCCTGTTTGTGTCTGTGTGTCGCTCGTGCGTGCCGTCATCATCTGTCTAGCGTCCACCCATACCGCGTTGGTGTCCAGTCCGAGCCTGGCTGTTCTTCACCTTTCTACCTACCTACCTGTTAATAATAATACAGACGGATGGACACTTGCTGTAGCCACATGGCACGCACACACTCACACCGCACCGCACCCCGCACCCGCGCCCCCCCCCGCCTCGCCTGTGTTGGAAGGAGATGGGAAGATGGAACAGCCCGAGGAAACGAGCGAACAAACACGTATGGGAGGTTGAAGTTGTGCACCACGCTGCCCGGCGTTTCTCACTTTCCGGGACAGCCCCGCCCTTGTGAGGCAGGAAAGTGGCGGCTACCCCGTACGCACTGTTGGGCTACGACCCCCTCGCCGACCGTCCAGACTCCCCCTCCCCTTCTCCAACCCCGACGAGCCGACGAATGGTTGAGCCTCTGACCTTGCGCGTCCCCGTCCCCCGCCACCCCTCACTGACCCTTCTGACACACCCCGGACACGCACATACAAGACAAACCCGGCGTCCTGCTCTCAAAAGAAAAGAAAAAATGGGAAGGAGGAGACCAGCGGGGGAGACTCCCCGCCTATGCAACACCCCAGAGCCGCCTATGCAACTCCCGGGGGAGACTCCCCGCCTATGCAACACTCACTCACGTCTCTCTCACAACGAAGGAGACGGCGCTGTGCAGCTCAGCAGCAAATCAGCATGAGCGAGGTCTTGAACGCCTGGCTCAACTCTGTCTGCTCTGCCTGGCTGTGCATGTAATTCCCGTGGTGATGGTGATGGGGGGCCGACGTGGCCGTCCGAAATTCCGCCGTGATCACGTCGCCTTCCGAAAGCGCGATGAGCTTCTGCACGACGCAGGATTGCGAGTCTTGCTGGCCCTGGGCATCCGAGGCCAGAAAAGTCCCCCCCACGACGGCGTCGTTGAGCTTGATGGCGACGCGAGGGACGGTCGCGCCAACGTCCAGTTGTACCCGACCTGCAGGTGCGCCTGAAGGGTAAGCATGACGTTCGCGTCGGCTTTGATCTTGATGCTGCCGTCGTCGCCGACGTCGGCGAGCTCGGAGGCCTTTGAGGCCCACACGAAGCGCCGAGACCAGCCGCCAGAGTTGATGGGCGTCGCCATCGAGGCCGCCTCGAGCACGACTGAGCCCTGGCCTCGACACCTCGACACCAAACCTCGACACCAACTCGACACCAACTCGACACCTCGACACCCCATGCCAACTCGACCAACTCGACACCCCTCGACACCCCTCGACACCCCTCGACACCCCTCGACACCATCTAGGCTGAAACCATGCTCGACCGTGTCAAGGTGCCAAACTCGACACCTCGACACCCCTCGACACCCCTCGACACCCCTCGACACCCCTCGACACCGCTCGACACCGCTCGACACCGCTCGACACCTCTGATGATCCTAACACAGCAGAGATGTAGACCCATTGGAGTCAGAGTTAGAAATCAGGGTTGCAGCAGCAATCAAACTTGGCTGGCAGTACTTTCATCCCTGAGTTGCAGCCTCTCAAGTTCTAGCTCAAGTTGCAGCTCAGTTGCACCCCTGTTGATGCAGCAAACATGGCAGTACTCAGGTAGCCCTCAGGTGCTGCACAGCACCTTGTACAGTGGCAATGAATCCTCACACCAGTGAGCTTGTGCCATGAGTGCAGACCTGTGGTCCATTGCGCTTTGTGCACTGGCGACGCTTGGCTGCAACGGCGACGCTGCAGCGGCGGCGACGCTGCTGCGATGGGGTACTGGCAGCCCTTAGCTGCTGGACAGCACCTTGTGCAGTGGCAATGTCCACTGACTCATGGCACCAGCCTTGTGCCATGAGCGCTGTGGTCAGTTGCGCTTTGTGCGCCGGTGGCGCTGCAGGGGCGACGCTGCTGCAGCGGCGACGTTGCTGCGGTGCTGCGCCTGCACAGTACCTTTGTGCACAGTGGCAATGACTCCCGGCACTTGATGTCCTCAAATGTCCACAGAGAGTATACTGGTTGTGCTCAGGTTGTGCTACATCAACAGGGTGCAACTGAGGCTGCAACTAAGGGATGAAACAGCTTTGCAACTGCTGCCCAAGTTTTGTTGATGGGCTGCAACTGCATCCTGCCACCTTGGACACCTCGACACCTTAGACGCAAAACCCCTTGACAACACTCGACACCTGCTCGACACCCTCGACACCCTCGACACCCTCGACACCCTCGACACCCTCGACACCCCTCGACACCCCTCGACACGGTCAAGCATGGTTTCAGCCTCGACAGGCCTCAACAGGCCTCGACAGGCCTCGACAGGCCTCGACAGGCCTCGACAGGCCTCGACAGGCCTCGACACCTCTATCCCTCGACAGCAGCTCGACAGCAGCTCGACACCCTCGACACCGGGCCTCGACACCTCGACACCAGGGCTCAGGAGCACGACGGCATCTCCTCCTCCGAGCGCACTGAGACGTAGCGGTAACGGGCTTGTCCGCCGACACCTGTTGCGGGGAGCCGTTGCCACACACACGCGGTCGTCGGCCTCTGCGAGACGTCAATGGGCGGGCTCATGAAGATGCTGCCATCCCTCGTTTTTGTTTTCTTTCTTTCGGACTAGACACCAACGCCGTTGGGCAACGCGGTATGCGTATGGGTGGACGCGAGACAGAAGATGACGACACGCACGAGCGACACACAGACACACAAACTCACAAGACGATCAGCCAGCTGGCCTGCCACCACAATTCTTCCCCTACCCTGCTCGGACTGGAACCTGGGTGCGGCTGATCGCGCTCAACGACCGCCCGGCTTGCAGTCGCGGTCCACCTAGCCGGCTTAACCTACACGCGCTTGCCGGCCCACCTCATGTTATCATGCTCGTGCACGCTCGTCCTCGGTTTCCAAGCGCCGGCAAAGACGATGACGTTCGACGCGCCGGCTCCCGCGCTATTTGACCGTGCTCTCGTGCCTGGTCGCTCGATCCATGTTTGGCTTCCGCCCGGCTACCACCAGCAGCCTCGTCGGCGCTATCCGACCCTGTATGTGCATGATGGGCAGTGCTGTCTCTCCAACGATGAGGGCGGTAGCAGCGGCGGCGGCGGCGAAGGCAGCCGGTGGGACCTCAACTGCGCGCTCTCGCGCCTCGTCACCGCCGGCGAGATCTCGCCGGCGATCGTTGTGATGCTGGACTCGTGCGGAGGCGGCCATCTCCTTGACATGGACCTGCCGCTCGGGCCAGAGATGCCGCCCGTGCCGCTGCTCAGGCGGAGGTGGCTCGAGTACGGCGACAATCCGCTCGGCCGCAAGTACATCGGCTACGTCTGCGACGTCGTCAAGCCCGCCATCGACGCGAAATTCCGCACCCTGCCGTCGCCGGAGCACACGTCGGCGATGGGCAGCAGCATGGGCGGCCTCTGCGCCTTTCTGAGCGCGTGGCGCCGGCCCGATGTGTTCGCGCACGCAGCCTGCCTCTCGCCCGTCTTTCAGCTGCCGCTCATCACCGAGGTGGCGCTGCGGAGGCGACTGCGGCCGGACGCGCGCCTGTACATCGACAACGGCGGCGACACCGATTCACGCAAGGTGCCGCTCATCGAGCTGGCCGATGGGTTCGACCCGGTCTGGCAGCTCGGAGCCTGGTACCTCGACACCAGCCTGCAGCCGGGCGTCGACGGGATGTGCGCGGCTCTGCGCACGCAAGGCGTCCCGTTCAAGTACCATCGCGAGGCAGGCGGACGGCACAATGCCCGCGCGTGGGGCGGGCGCGTGGAGCGACCGCTGCGCACGCTGCTGCCGCCCGACTCGTAAGGCGACCGTGGGTGTGCGGCACCGCGGTCGGCGAGAGGAATCGCACGAACGGCTGGGTTTCCGGTGGGCACAGGGAGCACTTGGAGTGCAGTCATTCACCTCACACCCAGCTCCCTGGGAGCTATGAAGCGCACGCGAAGTTTGGAGCGCGGAGTGCGGATGGAACACTTGGAGCACCTTGGAGGAGCACTTGGAGCACTTGGAGTGCAGTCATCAACCTCACATCCAGGGCCGGGGAGCTGAGAAGCGCACCCAGCGAGCCGGATGATCGGCATCGGGCTACGGGCTAGAGAGCCCTGACCCCTAGCTAGGGGGGGTGCGCATTCGCAGGGCAAGGGCCTTAAAGTAAACACGGGTCTCCGAGGGTTAGCTCCGCGCTCCAGGTTTCCCCTAGCAGCAGAACGCCCCCTCTACTCGGAGCTAGAATACTCTCCGAGGGTTAGTTCCGTGTACCAGGTTTCCCCTTAACTGCAGAACGCCCCCTCTACTCGGAGCTAGTGATACGAGAATACGTACTGCCCCCACGCAGTACCAGTACTACTCGACGATAATACAAGAATACGCAGCTGCGAAGTACCTATAAAGAAACAGCGAGGTAAAGTTCGGCGGCTATGATAAACCGAAAGTTGTCGTAAAACGCGGGCGAAAGCAAAGCAGAGGGCGGGCGCTTTTTGCCGCAGCGATGCCCGCAGCCTGTCGAGCAGCTTCCGCGGCGCCCATGCGCCGCGGGGTTGACCGACAGCCGCGCCTCTCGCGCCTCCCGTGCCACGCACGGCGACGCGCACCCTGCGCGCCAGTCGGCGCATTGGCAGTACTGCACCAGCCAGCACGGCGTGGAGCAATGCATCCAGGGCATTGTGCTGGGCGCCAACCAGCATGCCTCAGGACAGAGCAAGGGAGCATGCTGCGCACCCTGGCGCAGCGCCAGCTCGCCTCCAAACAGGCACTCTCACCACTGCACAGCCGCCCACGAGCGCCCGCAGCTGCACTGCTCAACACTGAAGCTCAGGAGCCTCCCCTTGTTGTCGCAGCTTTGTGCAGTGCAGCGTGCGAGCAGCGCAGCGCCAGGCCGACCCCTGGCACGCCCGGGCGGCTGTGGGACGGAGGCCCGCCGAGCGAGTGCGAGCCGCATCGGCGGCCATGTCTCCTGCCGCCGCGAGTGAGCGGCGCAAAGAGGCAGCGTCGCGCATGCTTTTCCGTAACGGAGTGCAGTCGTTTTCATGGAGCGCTTGAGTTTTCTCGAAATTTCTATGTGGTCGATGTCCCGCCTCCGCGCCTACATCGCCCTCGGCTCCAACCTTGGCCGCCGCGCCGCCAACATCCGTGCGGCGGTCCGGCAGCTATCGCGCGAGTTTGAGCTCGAGGCCACCGCGTCGCTCTATGAGACGGCTCCAGCTTATGTCGACGACCAGCCTCCCTTCCTCAACACGGTCGCCGCGGTGCGCGCGAGCTGCTCGCCGCGCGAGCTGCTGGCAACGCTCAAGCGCATCGAGGTGGAGGTGGGGCGCCTTCCCTCAGCTCGCTGGGGCCCTCGCGCCATCGACCTCGACCTCGTCCTTTACGGCGACCTGCAGCACTCGGACGCGTCGAGCGGCGACGCGGCGCCGAGCCTTCCGCTCGAGCTCCCGCACCCGCGCATGGGAGAGCGGCGCTTTGTCCTCGAACCGCTCGCCGAGATCGACCCGGCAGCGCGCCACCCGCGATCCGGCGCCACCGCCGCCGCGATGCTCGCGGCGCTGCCGCCGGAGGACGCGGCGCCGCTGCAGCGGGTCTGCCCGCTCGGGTCGGACGACGACGAGGGGCTCGTGCGGTGGGGTCGGCGCACGCTGCTGATGGGCGTCCTCAACGTCACGCCCGACTCGTTCTCTGACGGAGGCCGCTTCGACTCTGCCGCCGCCGCCACAGCGCACGCCCTCGAGCTCGAGGCAGCGGGCGCAGACATAATCGACGTCGGCGCCGTGTCGACGCGGCCGGGCGCGGTGGCCGTCTCGCCGGAGGAGGAGCTGCGCCGCGCCGCGCCCGTGGTGCAAGCCCTCCACGCCTCGCCGCTCCGTGCCCCAATCTCTGTCGACACGAGCTGCGCCGCCGTCGCCGCCGAGCTGGCTGCGCTCGGCGCGCGCGTCGTCAACGACGTGAGCGGCGGGGCGATGGACCGCGAGATGCTGCCGACGGTCGCGCGGCTCGGCCTGCCCGCCGTGCTGATGCACATGCGTGGGGACCCCGCCACGATGGCCTCGCTCGCGCGGTACGACGACGTCGTGGCTGACGTGAGGAGCGAGCTTGCGGGCCGGCTCGCGGCGGCGCAGGCGGCGGGCGTGCCGAAGTGGGACCTGATAGGCGACCCGGGCATCGGGTTTGCGAAGACGGCGCCGCAGAGCCTCGCCCTCCTTCGCTCTCTCCACCGCTTTGGCCTCTCCTCCGCCTCTGCCGCCGCCGCCGCGTCGGACGCCCTCGACTACCCGCTCCTGGTCGGCGTCTCGCGAAAGTCGTTCCTCGGCGCGGCGGTCGGTGTGGAGCTGCCGCCGCAGGAGCGCGCGTGGGCGACCGCCGCCGCGTGCGCCGCGTCGGTGCCGCACGCCGACATCCTGCGCGTGCACGACGTATCGCAGATGCGCCATGTGGCGGCCGTCGCCGACGCGATCCACCGAGGTGGCGGCGCTCCGCCGGCTTCCACCGACAACCGGTGAGCCTTGGCGGTTTACCGCGTGGGGGGTGCACATGGTGAGTACGTTGAGACGCATGTGTTCGATGTGTTTTCTGAAAAGAGAACTGCGCGTTGGGCCACCCTGACCCTCCGCGCGCGCGCCTCTCTCCTGACACCTCCCACCTGCACCTCCCAGCGCGTCCCACGTGTCGGTGTCCAACTGACTAGGTCCACCAGCTCCCTGGGTGGCGCAGGTTGTGACATTTGGCGATTCCGCGACTTACTGGGCCCCTGAGCCGCTACCCGTGTGCGATTTTTTGTGGCCCGGACATGATACTGATAGTAAACGGGTCAGAACCGGCCAAACACAGGCTACAGCCCCACACACGCGCCCGCCATAGCTCCTGGAGAGCATGCGCGAGTGACGCGCTGCAAGCCGCGAGAGTGGCATCAGAGGCAGGAACGACGTGCTCTTGCTGCACCTCGCAGCTGCACCAAGTGTGCTCGCAGTGTATGCCACGGCCACTGCCTGCGGCATTGCTCTCGTGCAGCTAGGCGATGCAGGTCCATCAGCAGGGCTCATCCAATGCGAGCGCACATTGTGCGTAGCCGCGGGCAGGTGGCAGTGCACAGCCGCACACCGGCTGTGGCGGCTCGAATGCCCCCGGCAGTGCTGCTAGTCATCAACTTGCGTATTAGGGCCGCAGCAGACTGCTGCTGTGGCAGCAGCAGCAGCCTGCTGCTGCCTGATTCAGTCAAGCCAGCGGTGCAGCGAGGCGTGCAGAATTCGCGCGATTTGGTACCTCCTGAGGCTGAGCGCGTTCAGACTCGGTGACCGGAGTTGGATGGTCCGATGGAGCTCGCCGAGCTCCATCGGACCATCCATGGCCGGACGGCGGAGCGTGAGGTGGCGAGCGGAGAGATGTACCGCAAGACCAAAAAAACACGGATCTGACGATTGTCACAAAACGTCAGATCTGCGCCACCCAGGGCTGGACCTAGTCAACTCCCCTCCAGTCCCACCGCGGGCCGCCGCACCGCCACCGGCACGCGTTTTGTGTGTGTGGAAAAACGAAGAAGTCTTCATCACAGACCCGCGGCGGCGGGGTGCACACGTGAGACCAGCGTGAGACGGGCAGAGAGCAGAGAGTGGACTCGCGGCCCCCTTGCTGGCACACAGCGCACACACACGACACAGCGGCGACCCACACACGACACAGCGGCGACCCGCGGGGATGGCGGATGCGGGGGAGCGGATCGGCGCGAGAGTGTCCGGCCGGCGTTCAGCCGCCGAAAGCGTCCTCGCCAAACTTGAGGGCGCGCAGCCTCTCCACCAGCGGCACGAGCCGCGGGTGCTCGACGTAGCCGTGGCAGAGATAGCAGTGGACCGACAGGTCCGCGAGGCTGGCTGCGGTGGCGTGGCCGGTCGCCCCGTGGTGCGCCAGGCTATGCGCGTTGAGGTAGCGGCCGCAGTTGACCTCGCCACACTGGAGGCAGACCCACTGCTCTGGCGACTCGCACCCGTGCGAGCAGACCGGCTGCGCTCCCGCGGCCGGGGCGTGCGTGCCTGCGCACAACAGGGCGGTCGCGTGACGAGGCGGTGCCCCCCCCCCCCCCCACCCCCCCACCCGCCCCAAGAGCCGCTCGGCGCTTCGGGCGGGGCGCTGTGCCTGGCCGGAGGAGCGACGCGTCGATGAGGGGGAGGGAGGGGTCGTCGAGGTGCGGGCAGTGCTTGAACTCGACGGCGCCACCGTGGTCCTCCTCCCCCCGATCAATCAGCCACTGCACCGCCGCGTTCAGGTCCGACTTGTCGCCGATCGAGTCCACCGCCGTCGCCGCCTTCTCAAGCGAGAAGCCAAACGCCTCGACAAGCGTGCGGACCTAGAAGGTTCCTAGAGGGCTCCTAGAAGGTTCCCAGAAGGTTCCCACGCCTCGGCAAGCGCGCGGACAGTCTGCGAGGCGTCCGCGTCAAAGTGCGTCACGGCGTCGCCTTCGCCGCCCGGAGCGACCCGCTTGCCCTTGCCCTTGCCCTCGCCGCCAGGAGCGGAGCCAGCCGGAGGCGAGGCGAGCGGCGCCAGAGAGGAGGCGCCGCCCGAGGAGGAGGAGGAGGAGGAGCCGCCGCCGCCGCCGCCGCTGCCGCCGCCGCCGCCTGGTCCATCGCGCAGGTTGCCCCGCTCGTCCCGCACCTCGACCTCGCTGCCGTCCCAGAACTGGAGCACGTTGCGCACGCATGCGTCCACGTAGCGCTGGCTCGGCGGGCCGCGCCAGCTCGCGTCCACTTTGACGTACACCAGCGCGACTGCCGCCACCTCGGGCCCGCCCGCCTCGCGCTGGACGAGCACGACGACGTCCTGGCGGTGGTACACCGCGCCAGTGCGGCCGTATGGCGCGTCCGGGTTGGTCGCCTCGAAGGAGTCGAGCAGCTCAATCTCCGCCGAGTCGAGATCGACCACGCTTCCTCGAACCTCGTGGCCGGCGAGAGGCTGGACCGATGCAACCGCGCCGGCCCAGCGCTCGCTCCAGCCGCCGAAGACGCGCGATGCGTCCGGAAGACGGGCACGACACGACGTGAGGCCGCCGTTGCGGCAGCGGTCTCGCATCTGCTCGATGCCATTGCTGCCATAGCAAAAGACGGGGAAGCGCTCCCCAGAGGCAAGCGCCTCTGTCAGCCTCGAGTCGCACCAGCGGCCAGGCGTGAGCGCCATCAGCATCGACGGGGGGGTGGCGGCGCGTGGCACAGACGCTTCACGTCTTGAGGCTGCGGTCGGGCAGCGCCCAGTACGGAAAAGAATTTTACAGGGCTGCCGAGGTCACTTCTGCCCAAACTTAGCAACAACATGACTTGGAGGCAAATGATCGGAGTGGGAGTCAGAAATGTGGTCCTTGCGCGAGGGGAGCTCGATAGACTCGAGGGGCCAGGATACGCCGCGAGGAGGACGGAGTTGCGCCGAAAGGCGAAAGAAGCCGCGAGAACAAGGGACCGGCAGGCAGCGGCGTCACAGGACGAGGCAGAAGAGAACGACGCGACAGAGGAGGAAATGACAAGGGAGAGAACGACGAGAGTGGGACGACCGCGAGGTGGCATGAAGATTGCAGCGAGAAGCGGCGAGAGACTCGCCGCCGCCGCCGCCGTAGCCGCCACCGCCGCCGTCGCCCGCTGGCATCGCCGCGATGGGCTTCAACACTGCGGGGCTGCGGTCGCGGTTCCGTTGCGATTGCACGTACGCCGCGGTTGGACGGTCCACGGAGGGTGGCTGCTGCTGCCGGTCCGCCATGAGGCAGACCCAACGAGATCGCAGCTGTGATTGCAAAAAGAATTTTACAAACACCCCTCGCACAACACTGGGCAAAAAGAAAAAAACGACCCCGGCTCTCTACCTGCCGTACTGGGGCTCGCTGCCCGCTGAAGAGCAAGCTGCACCGCGCCACAGCTGGCTATGCGCGGGCCTGCTGCTCGCCGCCGTCCTCTTTGCCGTCGTCCGCTCGCAGCTCTTCTTCCACATCGCCGTGACCGCCTCCGACAAGCTGCACCGGTGCGCGCTACAACGCCTCCTTCGCGCGCCGATGGTCTTTTACGACTCGAACCCGAGCGGCCGGCTGCTCAACCGCTTCTCAAAGGACATCGAGTTTTGCGACTCGATGCTCCCGCAGACCTTCCACGACACGATGCAGTGCGTGCTGATGGTGACCGCGTCGGTCGGGCTCTGCATCGCCCTGGCGCCGTGGGCACTCATCGCGCTGCCGCCCCTCCTCTGCTACTTTCGCTGGCACCTCGAGGCCTAGATGCGGGGACACAGCCCCGTGTATAATGCGTATCGCACTCGAGAGGAGGCACGCACTCGGCTGCACTCGGCGGTGGTTGGTTGCACTCGGTTGCACTCGGCTGCAGGTTGCGGCGCTTCTACCTGTTGGGCGCGCGCGAGATAAGCGCCTCGACGCCGTCTCGCGCTCGCCCATGTTCGCCCTCCTCTCCGAGTGCCTCGGCGGCCTCGCCACCATCCGCGCCTTCCGCATCGAGCGTGACCTGAGCGTGACCTGCTTGCGCGCTTCCACACGCTCCACGATGCCAACTCGCGCGCATTCTTCCACTTTGTGGCGGGCGGCCGCTGGCTCGGCTTCCGCCTCGACATGATGAGCTTCGCGTTGCTGGCGACGTCCTGCTTCGCCGCGGTGCTCTCGAAGGCCTACGGCCTCGCGGGCTTGGTGGGCGCGGCGCTCTTGTACGTCATTCAGTTTCCCGTGCTCGCCAGGGACGAGCCAGTCCGCAGCCGGCGCGGACCGCTCCTGCGACGCGTGTCCTGCTGGCACGTTCGCCGATCAGCTCAACGCCACCGGCTGCACCGACTGCCCCGCGGGAAGCTTCTGCCCGAATGAAGGCACCGTCCAGCCCTTCGACTGCGCCGCAGGGCAGTACCAGAACCTCACCGGCCAGGCTGCGTGCACGCGGTGCCCTGCTGGCGAGTTCCAAGCGGAGCGCGGGCAGACGTCGTGCGACTTGTGTGCCGCGGGTGGACACTGCGACGACTCCGCGGATTGCGGCGGCGGCTTCACGCCGTGCCCTGCACTTCAAGAGCTTCAACTGTCGTCGCGAGTTGTACGCGGCGCTGGCCTCGAAGCGGCCCTTTATCGCCGTGCACGAGGCGGACGTGGCCAAGGGCGGCGCCTCGATAGAGGCGCTGAAGGCCGAGTGCCGCGAGAGCTGTGTCGAGGTCTCCCCACCTGCCTACCCCTCCTACAGCGGGCCGGACGAGGTGCTCGCGCGCGTATTTGACGAGGCGAAGCCGATCGTGTGGGTGCGAGTGCACGATTTCCAGGTGGAGTCGCTCAAGGAGATCGCGCTGCGCATGCTTCGCCAAGTCCCGTACTACGCGCTGCACACCAGTGAGCTCACGCCGGGCGTCGCGGTGCCGGGCGAAATAAAACCGCACGGCTTTATTGGTGTCGTCACCATCCTCGTGTGCCACGGAAACAAGGGCGCGCATGATGTGGCAAAGGAGGTGAAGGCGGCGGCGGAGGAGGGGCGTAGCTCATCTGCGGTTGCACCAGATGCGCCGGAAAGGGTAACGATTCGAGAGGCAGAGGAGGCGCTCGAAGCCAACGCGCCTCCGCTTCACAGCAACGTGGTGTTCCTCCTCTACCTCACCGAATGCACCTTTCTCGACGAGGGCGGTGCAGTCGCGCGCCTCGTGCAAAAGGCGATGGACCGTGGCATCTCCATCACACCAGTCGCCGAGCAGGAGCCTTGCCGTGGAGGATGCGCATTCCGGCAGTTTTTTCAACAGACGCCTCAGGTGCTGCAGCAGCCGCCGTACAAGCTCTTCGACACGCTGGCAGTGCCGCTATACCCTTCGGTGCAGCACCGCAAGGTGAGCTTACGGCATGTACTGCGAGGCATGGGCGCCCAGCCACAAGGCGGCACCCACGGAGGTGTTTTGGCTACAGCTGCGAAGGTGATTTGTTGCCACCTGTCGGGGTCCCCGTGGTGCTTGAGGCGGAATGGCGGCACCATGGACGTCAGCGTTGCCAACAATGAGGCGGCGCTAGAGGTGGAGGCGGGGGGAGACGGAGGCGAAGGTGAGGACGAATTGCAGGTTTAGGATTGCGAGGAAGGTGAGAGAGAGTACAAGGTGGAGAGAGAGAAAAGTACGTACCAGGTTGTGCGCCACACACAGAGGGAGGGTGCACGTCGTTACTGAACATCAGGACACGTAAGTACCGCGGCACGCCGGCACCACAGCTTCCAACGAGGCGAGAGGCGAGAGTAACTGGCACTCCGCGCTCAGGGTATGAACACCATATACACATATCGACATTCGCGCTCGGGCTATGCACATTACTACACAATGGACAAGCAGCATGCGCTGCGCAAATTAGTATACGGCGCCGTCCTCGTTTTCCGGCTCGACGTACAAAGCCACGAACCAGTGCGTGCCGCTGTCGAAGTCGGAGAGGGAGTGCTGCGACTCCGTGTTGACGACCATGATGCGGACCCTACCATGGTATTGCGCCTCGGCGAGCGTCCGCGCAAAGTGCGTCTTCCAGTAGTTGAGCGGACCCGTCCTGTCGCCAATCAGCTTGGACCGGCGTCGTACGAGATCAAGGCGAGCCTCCGCGGCTGCATCGTCCATCGACGTTTTCCTCGCGACGCGCTCCGACCTCAACCCCTCCCAGCCCCACGCGCGCCACCCCCTGTACGACTGGCTGCCCACCTTCTTCTGCTCGCAGCAGACCGGCGCGGGCAAGGCACCGGATGATCTAGCGACGCGGTTGCACCGAAGATGAGCCGGAAGAGCAGCCGAAGATGGGCCGGCGTACGTCCTTGCTTGTGCGGGATGCGCGGGACCTCCGGCGGAGAGATTAGGGGGGATGATGAACCGTGTGCCGAACCCGCCAAAGGTGACCGTGCGACGACGCAGATTTGCGGTGTCTCACGTCTCACGCGTCGTTCGTCGCTTGTTGTTGTTGTTTTATTTAGGATGTAGGTTGATATACGGGGGGAAACACTACCGCACCTACACCAGACGGACGTGCGGTTTTTCTTTTCGTGCGTACCTGTGTTAGTGCCAGTGCGAGCCAGTCCCGTGCCCAGTCCTGTGCCCAGTGTCGTGCGAGGGAGTTTTGTTGTAAAATTCTTTTCGTGTGAGAGAGCCGCTGTTTAAATTCTTTTCGCGTCCGACCCCCAATCGTCCGGAAGTCCAAATTGCAATATGCCATCCGATGGCCAGCCTCGCGCCTTCGTGCTCGCGGAATACCCTCAGCACGGATTGCGTCTGCTACGCTCGCCTGGCAAGCCCAAAAAGGGAAAGCCGGCGCACTACCAGCTCCCGGCGGCCGCGTCGATGCGACGGATGCCTCGCCTGCTGCCGCAGCGGCGAGGGAGCTGCTCGAGGAGACCGGGCTTCGGGTCCTGCCGGCGCGGCTCGTGCGGATACGGGTGGATGGAGTCGTCCAACGCAGCTACTTCCACCTCCAGCTCGCCGACGCCGATGCGGCGTCGGTGCTGGGAGGGGACACCGCCCCGCTGTCCGGCGAGGGTGGCGTCTTGCACTTTCGCACGAGCACGACGCCTACTACTTTGAGCCGCACCTCGACGAGGCGGCCAATGCGGTCGCGCTCCACAGCGGCGGCAAGAACAGCCTCGCCGTCCAAGTGCTCTGGCAGAGCCGGGGACGGCCGGGAGGGGCCGTGAAGTCTCCGCCGTTCCCAGACCTGATCAAGAAGTTTTGCTGCATTCCTGAGTGAGGACCGCCTCGCCGCCTTGTACACTTGCGTCTTAGTTTTCTCTCCTTCGCGGTGCTTCTCTCGCGTGAGAGCTCTCTGTCTCTCTCCGCCCTCTGATATCGTGTTCGGAAGCGTCGGTGTTGCGCGTGTTTGAGTTCGGCCCACCACACTCCACACCGTACGGTGCCTACGGTCTACGTCGCGAGAGATGGTTGCCGTTTCTCGCTCCAGTGTGGTCTATTTTCACATGCATGAGGTACAAAATAATATAGTAAAGTACACGGCGGCGTCGGCGCGCGGCCCCGGCCGACGCGGCCCAGCGTTCCGGTGTGCACATACGCCCGCTGACGCGCGGGGCGTGTCCACATGCGCGCGGGGTGTGCCCGTATGCGCGCGTCTACACGTACGACGTAGTCGAGATCGAGAAGGTGCTCGAGCGCTCACCCTCACGTCATCTCGGTGCCCGACGACGCATTGCGCGCGCGCACAAGAGCGACCACCTGATCCAGGCCGGTGAGGCACTGCCTGAGGCGGCCCCCGCCCAGCTGCGCTTGCAACGGCTTCTCGGACGGCGCCACTGCCCCCGCCTTGCCGCTGGGAGCCTCCCCCTCCTCGCGCGAGGGTGCCTGGCTGAACCGCGGAGGACCCACCGTGGAGGAGCGCACCGTCGAGGCCCTGAGGGTGCTCGACGACGCGGCGGCCGACGAATCCGCCTTGCCGCTGACCTCCTCGACGGTGGGGCCGAGGATGGTGTTGGCTCTGACCGACGAGAGGCGGTAGTGGAGCGCGCCGAGCACGTCGATGCCGCGGGAGCCCCGCTCGCTCTGCTGGTGGAACGTGAGGATCGCCATCTGCGGCGGCTCGAAGTCGCAGACCGACTCGATCTGCCGCTCCGTGGCGAGGACGGCGCGTGAGTAGCGGAGGCGGTGCAGGATCGGCCGCGCGGTGAGCATGAGGACGAGCTGGCCGAAGGGCGCCATCAGGGCGAGGGTCGCCTGCGCGAGGGACTGCAGCAGCCCTCCCCGCGCGGCCAGCTCCCTGCCGCATACCACCACCCCGGGGTAGAGCTGCTCGACGTATGGCCGGCTCGCGAGGACGCCCTGGATCGTGGCGCGGGGCAGGCCGGCGGCGAAGCAGAAGGCGGCCTCGAGCGCGACGTGCCGCAGGCCCGGCCAGGCGCCACGCTGCGGGAAAGCGCTCTGCCGCGAGCGCGCCGTGGCGGAGCAGACGCAGAGGCAGGCGACGAACCGGCAGGCCAGCCCGCAGGCGAGGGCGGGAAGCAGCTGCGGCAGCAGGCGCACCTTGGCGGGCACGTCGTCGATCGAGACTCCGATCGCGGCGAAGAGGAAGAGGGCGCCGAAGACCCACAGCCCCGACCAGAGCGCCTCCGCCTCGCGCGCCAGCGCGGGCGAGAAGTGGGCGCCGAAGAAGCCGGTGCAGAGCAGGGCGAGCTCCTGCAGCAGCATCCCGCCGCAGTGCCGAGCACGGGGGGCGTCTACCGAGCACGAGGGGTCGGACATGCTCCACTCGTCGGGGACGAGCAGGTCGAGCACGTTCGGCAC